ACATGTTTTCATTTAAATGCATTTTATCTTGTTTCACATAGTTCGCTAAAGGTGTGGGTAGAGGTAGTGAACCTTAAATATATAATAAACAATACCACAACTATGCGGTCACCACTTCATGGATTTTCAACTGCTGCAGGTCCCCCTTGATGAACGAGGGATGATTGGGCTGTTTATTGACCATATTGCTTCATTTCCTTCTCCATCGAATTCCGCACTTTGTCCAACTTACACGGTCGTGTTTATTTTGCTCACAGTTTTAGTTTAGCTAATTGTGGACATTTTTATTTGTTCTCAAAGTTATAGCTTTATTCGTTTTTCTCAGTTTTCTGGACCCAAACGCATGTAAAGAATGTACATTGTGCTTCACTGCATTTCGCCGAGGTTGACAGGGCTTGCATTCAGCATCAGTTATGCGAATGGTTTTCAGTGAATTGTTTCCTCAGAAAAAGTTACTTGCACTCTAACCATTATGTCGAACTTCCTAGATTGTCGTTCACGCATTTATAGGATGATGCGAAGCGGACATCAGAATATCACCCAATTATGTTTAAAATAAGAGGCGTTTGAATCCGATTTGATTTTGGAAGTTTTCTTCACAGGCAGTCATATCTTGAGAGCAGAAGAGTCGAAAAGGGTGCTGAACGCTTTACTTGTCTAATTATTGCAATATAGTGCCTGAACTAGATTACGAAGATAGATTACGCAAATTGCCATAAATGTTACTATCTTACCATTCTCCCTGGTTATTGTAAATGGTGATGTATTTGGTGATTGACAATGCATGTATTGTGTTAAACTTGCCAGCGTATGTACACAGGTGTATCTATGTTCCGTAGGTTGTATGGATGTACTCGTTGTTTTACTACAGTGCGTTGATCCAGGTTCATGGCTATAGGTTCTACGGTAGCAATGGCATGTCTGTTGCTGCCAGTTTCAGGGAAGCTTAGCATCAGTTAGTGATTCGTGTAGAGAGGTAGGTTTTGAGGTCTCTCTCGAATGAATTCCATTGGTGATCTTTTTGGTGCTAGTCTACGAAGCGACACTGTTTCTTGTTTGCCAGATGCATGCAGTAGGTAAGAGTAGTGTGGTTTTCCCATGAAATTTTTCACTATCTGTACCCGTGGATTGTTTTTTGATGACCTATCTTATCGCTTCAAAAATACAAAGCCCGGAACAGTTATATAGGAAGGATAATATCCTGGTAATTGAGCAGTTAAGAAATCGAAGCAGTCACTCATGTAGTGTACTAATGGTTGCTGTGCACAACAGTGGTCACATTAAATGGAGGGCGCTCAGTGGTGCTAATTACTAATATGTAAATGGAAGACCTCTAGTTTTCCAAATCAAGGCATAAGGTTTTCCACAAGGTACCATTGAGTCGTTCAATTCATCCATTAGATCGTGGGTTGTACGCCGTCTTGTGTCCAACCCATACATTTTTTGTCCTGTAGACATCTGGTAAGTTCTCTGAGCAAAAGTATACTTTCTCCATCGGACTGAATAAATCCGGGAGTACCAAAGGAAAAAAAATTGACAAAGGCACTGTAGCACTGTGGATATATTCACATTAAGGCAAAGAAAGGTAAATGGGAAACGAGGATATTTCTCAATAATGTTTAAAAGGTACCGAGTAATATGTATGCATGAGTAAAGGACCCTAAAAGTCGGCAGTAAGTCCCTTTAACGGTTGCGTGGCTTTAATCAATCCCCCGATGAACTGTTGCATAATATTGGCTTTATTGCAGCATAAACCTGGTAGATGGATGTAACTCGTCGTAGGTTTTTTGGGACCGACGAACTAGACGGTCCTCGTGATACCTGGCTGGCACAACGAATTATGAAGTTCTTGCTGCTTTCGAACGTCGGTGATTTTCGCGTTGACGTTATGCTGAAGTGTGCTCTACTTTGGTTTCCTCACTGGGTTTGTAGCCTGCGTGTTAACTGAATTCAAAAAACTCGATTCTCCATCATTTGATTTTGTCATGTCCTTTCGAGTTCCGTCCTACATGAAGGTAACCGACCTTGGACTTGTGGTCAGCTTGAAGTGTTTCCTATTAGGTATGGGCGTCATTTTTGAATCCCTTCTATGATGGTGTATGGTTTCTTCTCTGCTGCCGACTGATGGATTTCGACATTTAAGTTAAGTCGCTGAGTGATGCAGTAGTGTCAATGTCTAAAGCGTTGGTTTCAACAATCAGTAGTGTGTCATAGTGCGCTGTAGCTGTAGCGTTTTCGATATTTTTCTTGAGTGCTTCGAGTACGACTCGCAGATATTCCGGACTTGGGGATTTCACCTTTTCCATCAACGGGCTTATCTTGTCAGAAAACGATGGAATCCACTGTGAATAGTCGACGAACGTTCCCACTGCTCGCGCTGGAGGTTGAATTTCCGGGATTGGTAACGTATTTCGGGGTCCTGATTCATTACCCATTTACGTACTAGAAATCCTAAGAGGCAGATTGCTTTGGAGAGTATATATATATATGTAATGTATGTATGTATATGTATATATATATAAACAATTCCCAATATGTTGGCACTGAGATATATTCCGTTCACACTCCAGGTTTTTCCCCTTGTGTAAGGCATGATCGTGAGTAACTGAAAATAATTATATATATATACATAACTGGAAACTGGAATATCTCAATTATGTACGATCTACCGACAAAAGGACGGAGTAGCAGTAGGATCACCACTAGGACCCTTTTTGGCGGATTTTTGCATGACGATGCTGGAGGATACTCAGTTGAAAGGCACCGTTACTAGTCTTCCTAAATATTGTCGGTTTGTAGACGACATATTTTCCATAGTTGATTCAAACTGCTAACTGGATCAACTGCTAGAACCGTTTAACTCCATACACAACACCATAAAATTTACAAAGCAGGTGATCGAATACCGTTTTTAGATGTACTTCTCGTTAGAAGACGTGATGGATCTATCCAACACTGTGTGTACCGTAAGAAAACATGGATTGGCCAATATAAAAATTTTTACAGTTATATCCCGATTAAGCCTGAAGAGCAACCTGATAAAGTGTTTGGTATCTAGAGCCCGGGGGATCTGCTCACAAGACGTATTGAAAGATGAAATTAAGTTTATCTCCAGCGTGATCAGAAGCAATGGCTACTCGAACCGTTTCATTCAACCAATTATGATGAAACTCTTACCAAAAGTACACACTGGCAAAGTGGAAAAGAAGGGCTTGTTCGGTAGTCGATGACATAACTGAAAAGCCCGGAAGCACAGCTATGAGAATGAGGTGTGCAACCCACACAGACAGACAGACAGACACGCATACACGAAGTGAACGATTCCTCACATTTTATTGTTCTCCTAACCCTTAGATATTCCCCCCTCATATAAACTGTAAAAGCATGATTATGAGTTATTGATATCAATTGTTTGCCTGAACTTATGTTCTAAACGTTGAAAATGGCTTAACTTTCCACTTTACCGGTTACTCCTTGATCAGGAGTGCCCGATGTAACTACAAAAGTAACATTTTTCCAGAATGGATGTGTTTAAGATGATAGGAGATGTTAAGGGTGAACTGGGGGATGTGGGTGGGGGGGGGGGGGGAGCGAACAGCCAGACAGATGTTTATTATCTGCACATGGCTATGATTGTTTGTGGGCCAGTCCAAGGCATCTGGCCAGTTCTTGTAGCTCATCAATTCATGTTGTGCGCGAAGCTTCTCGCATGTAGTTGAAGACTGCAATCCGGAAATTAGTATGCAGTCATTCATTCGTATGTTTTAGTGCGGTAGCAGTTTTGAAATTACAATCCTTTTCCAAAAATTATGGTTTTGGACAAGATGGTCGACGTCTTGACTGTCGCCTGTAGGTCGCTACTAGGTGTCGAGCATACATATCTCTACCTTGTTTTTAAGTTTGAGTTTCGATTGCCGATTGGTTATCTGCAAAATCCGATGAGAAGTCGTAAACAGGTGCATTGACATAGTGTATTGGTGTGTTTGGTTTATCGGGATTATGTCTTTGAGGTATTCAGAGATATTCAGAGTACAAGGTTTCATCGCCCAAATGCATCTGGTGCGTTCAAATCCTCATGGAAACACTCAGGCCGGATAACAAAAAGACAATAATCATCATCATCATCATAATAGCAATAACAAAAGAAGAGCAAATAGTTATGTGCAGGCAACGGTAGATGAAGAATTAGGGAATGTGTGGAGGACGCACAAGATGCACTTGATAGACTACCAAGTGTTGTTTCCGCATTCGTTTTGTGCTTTACACCCTCGAAGTGCAAAGTGATGCTACAAGACCGGGTTTAGCCTACTCCCGCTTTGAAATCAAATGACTAGGAACCAATTATAGTGGATTACTTTTCTTACCTAAGTAGTTGTATGACCAATGACGGTAACGCAGCAAAGGAAACAATCGCCCTTATTTCCAACGCTCTAGCAGCAGGACTAAAACACCTTTGGCGTAGACGCGACGTTTCACTGAAGTTGCAAGGTCGTATGTATTGTGCTACCGTTCAGTTCTGCTTTGTGTTTGTGAAATCTTGAATGTGCATTTAGAGAATATCTATCGACTTGAAGTTTTCGACTATCGGTTTTTTACGTAGTTGGACTTACGTGGGATAGAGCAAACGGGTTAGTAACGTGGAAGTAAGCCGCCATGTGTTTAGGGGTTTATCAAGGATAAACTTTCTAGCTTACCGAATTCACATAAGTAGGCTTCACTGACAAGGGCGCATATTGCGCATGCCCAGCCATCGTCTGCCGCATCGCGCTTTATTCGCTGTATCCGCTGCGTCCTGGGGGAAATTACATGGGTGTCAACAGATGACGTGGAGACGAGGCATGAAGAAATGCACAAAGCTGTTAGGTTGAACAGGCTGGGGTCCGAAAGACTCCGCAACTGGTTGGTTGGAGACATTGAAGGATATGGCAGCGAACCGACAGTAATAGTGTTCTTGTTGTCATTTATTGTGAGGCCAGATTGATTGAAACGGTACGTATGCAGAGTTTGATTGTGCACTCTGTGTGTTGACCATAGAGGCTTACCTTCTTTCCCTTCCCTCAAAATAGGTTCAATCCCTGTCCACNTTGGCAGCGATCAGTGAAGGTCGCTTCACTGTATTTCGCTGTACGATGATAATGATGATGAATAGGGGAATGAAGAGAAGTTATGAGCGCTTTATCTGTCCGATAATTACAGTTTAGTGACCAGTGTATATTTCTGAATGTAGAGACAGATTATACAGGTTAAATTGAATAGTCTTTCCATTACCGGTCTGCTTGGTTAAGCTGTGATGCTACTATACCTCGTATTTATTTTTGGCGGCAATGATCCAGCGGTTTATGTTTGATACTGGCCTGTAAAGTTCTTGCAATGCAGTGCAGAGACTTGGCTATTACAGGATAAAAATAGACTGGAGGTATGCGAACACCCCTGTCTGCGTCGTATTGCACGAGTCTGGTGGGGAAATGGGACAAGCAGTGCTGACGTTGGGCACAGAGTTTTAGGTAATCGCGGTCGTCCACTGGAGCAAGTAGTCAACTTTCACAGACTACGTTGGTTCGGGCATGTGTTACGCATGTTGCTGGATAGGTTGCAACGGCGCGCGATGTTTGCCATGGTCAAGTCAAGAGTGCACTTTATTCATCCAATGTTGACAGAATTTTCAGTGAAAAGAATGTTATAGAATGTTATGGAAGGCAGTGGATGGAAAACGGTCAAGGGTGGTCCAACCAAGACTTGGCATGAGGGTATGATCCAGGAGGTTGGGTCACATAGGTCCCGTTAGGCTCCCTGGATGGGGACCCCGAGTTCATTGTAACCCGTGGTTAGAGACGCTGAGTGATATGGTTGGGTGTCGCAAGCAGTGGCGCTCGTACATCTACTCGATATTCTTGCAACCTTAGTCTATACGAATTCTCTATCTTCCCATTTACTCTGCTCTCAACATTCTACTCTTTCATCCGAATGGGCGGCTAAAAGATAGCAACGAAAACCGGCGCACAAAAGTGCTTAGTTAATGGTTGTAAAATCTGAAGCTGAAAGTGTAATGCTTCTTGAGATGTATCGTCCGAATCTCGTCACCTTTTTGTCGTCTGGTTGGGTCGCATGACCGTATCGTTGGCTTCCTATGTCTCGTTGCTTCAGGCCTACGATAATAGATCTTCAGATGAAATGGTTGAGTAGTAAATTTTTTGTAATGATCAAAACATGATTTGTGAAATTAATATTGTATGAAATTATATTACAACAACAAAATTGCCTGACTGAATCTCTTCTTTATTGTATCATTCATCCAGAGTTCTCTAATTTCCTATTTCATCCCCAATTTTCATTCATTCAGGTGGATACTATACTCACCTGGTTCAAAGTTCCAGAAGTGATTGAGAAATATTTCCCCGGCGGAATTTGCGGCCACGACAAACTCGGACGTCCGTTATTCATCGCCCCAGTCGGTTGCCTTGACCCGAAAAGTTTTCTGAAATGTATCACGCGTACAGAGTTTCTCCAGAGTCGAGTGTACGAATTGGAACACATCATGAAAGTTGTCTTTCCGCAAGCCTCGGCTCGAGCAGGACGTCTCATCGATCAGCTATCTGTGATCATGGACATGCAAGGTCTTGGATTAAAACACATGTCTCCCAGTTTACTTACTATTGTCTCCGAATCGGTCACCGTACTTGAGTCCAATTATCCCGAAGTGTTGGGCACCTGCTTTGTTGTCAATGCTCCACCACTCTTCAGTCGCCTTTATGCCTTTATCAAACCTTTGCTCAGTCGCGAAACACAGGAAAAGGTTCAGGTTTGTACATATTTTCATCTCTTTACCATTTACTAACGCCGCACTTTTAATTGCTGTTCTGCAGTACTACTAACTAGGAAGTGATGTTTACCCTAATCTGTTTGATAGTAGTAATGCGACTAATTAAAAATTATCCGGAATGTGAATGTTTTCCAATCATCTGTTTGAAAACTTCCCGTAAATTGGTCATTCAAACCTCATCCATTAGTCGTCGCCCAGTTACTGGCCAATTCAATTTTAATCTAATCTCGTACGGCACTTTGTTTGTTTTCTACTGGTTCTTTTTTGGTTGACCAGCGAGGAAAGATTAATTAGAATAGTTGGAGATCGTTATTGTCACCGGTCATTTCAGTCAAATTTTGTTTGGTCAGCCATTTTTCCTTACACCATGAAATCATGGCTAACAGTCTTGGAGATCTTTAACTTGCTGGCGGTAATTATGGTCATGATGTTTCACGTGCCCAGTCCGGAAAGATTGGTTTGACCTCACCTCGCTTCCCACGAAGTGCTTTTGTCGAGATGAAAATCCTGTCTTGTAGTTGTTTTGAACGAATAACACAACACTTCAAGCGAGCACGATTGAATCCCGGAATCATTTCGCTTCATCTCAACTGGTCGTTATTGCAGAAAACAATAGTTTGTATATGGGTGATCGTTGAACTGGAATTGAACATTGAAAGTGCATTGTCGAAGGAGTTTCCTTAAGCGATATGTTGGAATTCCGATATTCGGATTTTTTCAATGTACTCACAGAAAACATCACTTGTTTCCTTCAGAGGAACATTCATAAATAGTGAACTAACATCCAACGGGAATATACGCCTGTGGCTTACTTCACCATATATACACGATATATCGCATGCTTTATCGTGTATATTCAAAATAAGGAATGGTCTGATCGGCTGCCCGGTGGTCGAGCGGATAGTATGTGTGCGTTCTACCTGTGAGGTCCCGGGTTCGGTCCCCAATTGAATCGATGGCTTCACATTGCTGAAAAAACTCAACCAGGTCGAAACAGCCGTCCAGTGCTTCCTAGTTTTTCAGCTCGCGCCTCATTTACACGACGAATTCATCATCTAAAATAGTTTTTTTTCTTGACACCAGGTGGAGATGGAGGTTCCGTTTATTAATAGTAATCACTTCAGCAAACCTTACCAGTATTTTTTCTTTTTTCATTTTGACTTCCGTTTATTGAATACACAATGATACAATTTTTAGGAAGTGGGAAATGGCCAATGAAAGGGCTGCCATACAACACAAATGGGGAAAGTCAGGCGACTCGTGACTTGAAGACAGTCTGGAACGCTGTTCTTCGGTCTATCTGGTGTTGCGTCATAAACAGATATCGAGCAGTGATTGAGGACGGGGTCTTGTAGTTTCGACCCTCGTTTTTATGCAGCGGCCTTGACCTTGAATGCGTCATCTGACTTTTAACCCGATTTTGAATCTGGTTAATCTCGCAGTTACGTAACTATCGCTCTGATCTACCCGCGTAGGTCGCTCCGCAACCACGTTGGAATTGGTAAATCAGATTATAGTTAGCGTATAGAGGCAGACTTTATTTTTCCAGCGGTGTGGGTATCCTAGATGTCCGGTAGACGACTATCTAATTAAACGATACCATCACGACGAGACTGCACATTGACGTGGTATGATGAATCGTGCACCTCTCTGACCCAACGAGCTACACAGGATGACTTTTTTCAAGCGGATGATCTAATCATATCTGGAAGGTCGAGGGCCAGAGGTCGGGCGAAGTCCAATCGCCTGGTCCTCCAGGTTGGGGGTTTGACTGGAATTTGCGTTTCATTCGGTAAAAAATAGTGGAATAATTGCTCCAAGTAAATGGGCCTCCACTTCGCTTCACCCGCTGCCTTGCGGTTAGCTTCTTGTCGGAACTAAAGACTAATCATTCTCCTGCTTAGTGGCTGGACACCCTAGCAGTACCTGTCCACCAAACCCCAGTGCATGTGCATTACGAGTTTGGCAGCGATCGGTGAAGTTCGCTTCTCTGTATTTCGCTGTATGATGATGATGATGATGATCGTAGGCGATTTGGGCGTCAACTGCGCAGTAGTTTGAAGCGATTACCGATCTCAGTCGTTTCTTAAATTGAAAGCACGTGCCCAGGAATTTTTGAGCTGACGCGCCGTTCCTTTCGCAATTCTCAGTTTGCTGTGCTTATTGACGAACCGTTCGGTATAAGCGTTTTTTGCTAACATCTCCCGAAGGCTTTGTAGTTCTTGTTCAATTGTCTCTCGTGCAGATTCTCCTTGTTGTGTCAAATAAGGTCCGAACAAGACCACGTTTATACTCCAGGGGTATACAGCTCTTGAATCGTCGATGTTGGCCTGTCTAGGTCTGCCATGACTTCAGTTTTCAGTTTGTATAACCATTAATCATGCACCTTCGTGCGCCGGTTTTGGATGCTATCTTTTGGGTGTTCACTTGGATAAAGAATAGGACAAGACAGGAAAGTTGAAGGTAGATTCTAACAGAAAATGGAGAATTTCAGTGGTCTAAGTTTGCAAAGAAACTGAGAAGATGCAAGAACGCCACTGTTTACGACACCCAACTATATCACTCAGTGTCTCTAACCATCGGGTACGATCATCCCGAAGTCCCCATCCAGGGAGCCTTACGATACCCATGTAACCCAGACTCCTGGTCAGGGTTTTCTTACCCTCGTGCCAGGTCTTAGCTTGGCCACCCCTGACTTTCTTCCACCCACTACTTGTCTTGGCGAACATCGGTCGCCGAGGTAACCTATCTGGGGATGTGTAACCCGCCCCAACCAACGTAATCTATGGAGGTCGACCACTTGCTCCAATGGGCGACCGCGGATATCCAAAACTCTGCACCTAACCTCAGCATTTCTCGTCCAGCTGTCTCACCAGATTCGTGCAATGCTGCGTAGACAACGGTGTTCAAACACTGCCTGTCCTGTTTTCTTAATGGCCAAGTTTCTATGCAGTATAGCAGAACTGGCCGAACTGCCGCAGCTTTATACACTCGACTCTTCACAAACAACCGGATGTCGCGACGGCGCCGCAGATGCCTCAAGTAAGCAAATGCCAACCGAGCCTTCTGTATGCGAGCTGACACTTCGTCCGTGATGCTTCGACCCGGTGTACGCATCACGGATTTGCCAGGACTAGACCTAGTGGACTGCCCGTGGCGGCACCATCAATCTGCCTGTACGCCTTTCCTTGAGAAGTGAAAGACCTTTGATTGGCCGCTTCCCCCTTCCTGAAATTTGTATCATTGTGTATTCAATAAAAAGAAGTAAAAATGTAAAAGAAGAATAACAAAAACGTTGGTTGTGCAGAGCAGTAATAGACGCTCAAGGATGTTCACCAGTAGACTCTGTCGAATCTGTTCCTCATCTACATGATCGCAGATGATTTTTATGACCTCGCGAACCGGTACATTAGTAAGCAGGGATTGATCATCGAAGGAATCCGCGTTTACCTTCTTTGTTGATGTTCAAAATGTCCACCAATTCAAAACCCACTTCCGTTTCGCTGACTATTTTGGTCCACCAGTTTTCACGGTCCTTCTTGAGGCGTTTCCTGAGTCGATGTTGAACGCGTCGCCGGTTCCCACTTTATCCCAAACGGTCCGGATTTGTTACTTTNCTTTTTCTACTGACTCGTGAGCTATTCAATGCCCCGGACGGGCTGCAGACTCGGGCTCGCTGGCAACCTTCGCTACTAAGTGCATTGCTTGTTTAATCAGATGCCATTGTTCATCCACACCGTCATACTAAGGCGCCCTTAGGTTATGTACTAGCTCTACTTCATAGTGGACACAAATTGATCAAACAAGCGGTGATGGGTTGACCTAATTAGTGGGTTTCATCGGTCACCATTTACTTGAAACGTGAAGCGTATCAAAACTCTTACCTGATTAAACCCAAGGCGGGTCATGTAATAAGGCTTGCAACTTTGAAATGAGCCTCACTTACGGTTGCTCCATGTTGTGTGGTCAATTTTAGTCACCTTACCCGTTCAACGGGAGCACCACTTTGTCATCTATAGAGGGCTGTATCAGTACTTGACACTGGACGGGATCAGACGATGGTGTGCCCCGAATTAAAGAAGCCGATCACCGTTCCCTATTCGCCGGTGGGTTAGAGCTTTGTTTTCTAACCTTAGTGTTAAATTCGCCTGTAAGCACAAACAAATTGCAGCTGCGGCTCAAATGGTTTTTGTTAGTTTGTTGTAGTACTTCTCTTTTTGTGCATCGCGACTGCAGTTGGTTGGAATGATCACAAAACACCCTTCTAGTGTGGTCTCCCAGACACTGATTAACTTCTGGATCCGATTATTGACAGGAATCCAGTCGACAAATGAGAGTTCGTAATCATCATTTTGTACGAAACTCACTTCATGTTGATCAAATGAACTGGCTTCATTGGCCTCTGTTGTGTGGAGGAAGTGCCTCGAAGGCAACCCCGGGCGTATTTGATTCACCTTATACTACTAGGATCCTGAATCCACCAGACAGCAAGTGCTTAGCAGTCCGTTGCGCGTGCAAGGCAAGCTGCATGAGAGTCCTCACATGCAAGAATTCCAGATTCAGAGGTTGACAAGGCTTCAGAATTTGCAATTACTCCAGCGGTACAATAGGTACAACACGATTTGGTAATCAGCTTTGTCGAGTGAGAAACTTATCGTTGGAGGAGATAATACTGATCGGAAGTAGAAACAAAGGGAGAGAGTTTTGAATGGAATACGTTGAAGTAAATAGAGGTGAGAATATCCAAGTAGTAGTTTATGTATCGCTACCCACCTCACTCGATGCAATTTGCAGCACGGTCCTATGCAGTATGGAATTCTGTAAAGTTTGGAGTTTGATGGGTGGGTATTATAATAAGAACTTACTCCGGGCTCTACTAGCGCCACGCAGCTGACACGAACGCACGACAAGTTTTCCTCTGGATTGTATTTTCATGACTCGATTCTGAACAGCTACGGACGACAGAACGGTGATGGAGCGGAAACGGTAGCGGCGATACGATCAATGGGAACATGGGGTTGTGAGGAAACACCCCAGCATATAGGTCATCCATGGGTCGGGGTTTAAGATAGATGTAGAAGGCAGCAGTAACGAAACTTCACTAATCTAAAAAGACCAATGAGGTGCAAGCACTCACGATAAAATATTACTGGTGTTTTCCAAGCGCTACAGTACTGCATGGGAATTCAACCACTAAGCAGATCGATTAGGGGTCTCAGTCACAACCTTTCTTTCTGACAAGAACCCAACCACAGGGCAGCGAGCAAGGTGTGAAGGTGGCTCATCCACTTGGACGAATTACTCCATTTTTACCAACTGGGATACCAACTCGCATCGAACCCCCACTCTGGAGAAACAGGAGACTGGACTACGTCTGGCCTCTATCTTCTGACTTTTGAAGCATAATTAGACCTGGTTTGACAAAACCATCTTGTGTAGCTTGTTGGACCACAAAGGCTCAAACACCATCCATCATAGCACGACAATGTGTAGTCTCTTCTAGTTGTAGTTGGGTTAAATGAATCGAGTTCTGTAATTGATCTTTAGTAACACTTTAGTGTACTGGTGTTCCTTAAGTAGTCATAATTCCACTTATTTATTGTCAATTTGAGGACTCAGTGCTCACCAAGCTTTTTTAATTTTCTTTAGTTATACATGTTACCACTTCTTCCCTTCAAAAGCCCAGTGTAGTGCAGTTTGGTCAATTTCCAGGCGCCAAATCCAACAAACTGTGCATCGTTTTTTATCTTTAGCATATCCTAACCCGATTCCGGCAAACTGCGCATCACTCGACACTCGAATCATGTTTTCTTCATACAGTTCCCACAATTTACTACGGAAGGAAAACAGTTTACCCACTTCATCACTAAAAACCCTAAACTCTGCTGCACTTCATACTTGTCCTCGTGCCACCGTGCGAAACTAGTTTGTTACGAAAATTCAATCAACAC